GAAAGTTCTTATAAGCTATTAAGCCATTTCTTTTTCCTGGAATCAGGCAACAAAATGAGAATATCCTTGCCCTTTATTATCCCAGATTCTTGTTCATCCACCTTTCAGGACAGTGTGTGGTACTCTATGAGTCTGGATCCTCTACCAATCATAACTCAAATGAAATCTTTCTTTTACCAAGCATCTCTTAGGAATGCAGCCTCTGTATGTGCTAGGTGGAGTCAGGGGTGCTTAAATAATTAAAATGTAAAATGAGAAGCCCTGAAGCAGAGTCCTGGTTTTGTTGTCTCTAGCCTCTAAGCCCCTGTTACCTTAGACCATGCACTTTGGGCAACACAGTTGTCTCATTTGTTTCTATCAGTTATTGCTCAGAACAGCATCTTTTATACCTCTGAAATATTCACATGACAACATTTAATAGAAAAACAAGTTAATTTATTCATGCAGTAGCAGAATTAAAAAAAACTCATTAAAATCTAAGGAGGAGGGTAATTACTTGTGGTAGTAAGTATTGTTCCTATCTTCCCTAGTAATCACTAGAAATACATATATGCTTCTTTTTTTCAGCTTATTTGACATACTAAAATAAGAAAATCTCATATGAAACCATCATTTGTATTTCTCATTCACAGAGATTTAAATGAAGGAAGCTTTCTATCTTTTTTAAACAAAAGACTTTGTCTCCCTTTTTACAATGTCATTTCCCCCTCCATTCCCTTTTAAGACTGTCTGGGATTTGTCTGTCTTTGGATATTTAACAAGCTCTGAAGTAATCTCAGAAGCCATCATATATTTCATCGAGGTTTAGACATGCTCTCAAAATTACAAATTAAGTGCATCACAGAAAGTCCATCTGCTGCGATTAATCACATTAACCTCAAGCAAGGAGTCATTGACAGTTAAAAGGAACTTAGGTCGAGACGGAACCTTAGGAATTTTTCAGTTGATGAGTAGACGAGGACACTGAATTCCAAAGAGGTTCAGCCATAGCTTCTCCTTGTCTCACCCAGGGACATGGAGTATGCGTGTCTGTCAGGGTGTGTGGGGTGTGTGGGATGGGTGGCGTATGATGTATAGGGATACTGTGGGTATGGGTGTGAAAACTTGAGGTTATTGTCAGATGTCTTCCTCAGTACCTTATAAACCTTGCTTTTTGAGACAGGGTCTCAGTGAACCTAGGTATTAGTGATTTGGCCTCAGTGCGTCCTCTCTGACACTCTTCCCTCAGTGCTGGGGTTATAAGTACACCGGAGTACTTGGATTTTTACATGGGTGATCTAAGCTCAGGTCCTCATGCTTGCACAGCAATCATTTTACTCATTGACCTATATTCTCAGCCCTCATTTGGATATTACATCACTAACCAGTCTCATTTGTCTGTCTGCCTATCCACCAATCCACCCTTTTCCTTTAGCTGGCTTATTGCTTTCTAAGTATATTCATGAATTTCCTTTTAATAAATAATAAATCAAAACTAACTATACCACTAAACCCAATTCACCCTCTGTTTATTAACATGTTAAAGGTATGATCTGAGTCCAAAGGCACCTACTGAGATTTCCAGTATTCTGTAATGAAGAACTAAACCAAGAGACTCATGGACAATGATAAAAATAGACTCTTTTGAAAGAAAGAGGCACCTTCAAGGGGTGTGGGAGGGTAGAGCTAGAGAATCAAAACAGATCTGAGACTCAAAAACCCCACAACCTGTCAAGACCCTTCTTGGATCATTTACATTCTCAGGGAGATCTAGCCATGTCCCACCCTGAACTCTGTTTTGGCACATATAGCCCTGGTGGGGTATAGGTGGTCATTCCTTCTTCCACTGGGTTTCCTGTTAATCTTGATGTCTCTTCTGCAGCATGACTTGCCTGCCATAGGGGTCTGCAAAGCACTGTTGTACTCAGTGCATCTGTATACTTCACATCTACCTCCTCTCCCCAGCCTTTCTTTTCTTGCTTTGACCTTAATGTCCACAACTCTCCTTGAGGCAAAACCCACTGGTAATTTCTAGTTTGCATTTTAGCTTCTCTAGCAGCATTCTTGATTCCCCCCAGTTCCTGCTTCCTTCTTCCCTAGTTCAGTCTCCCTTTCCTTTCCAAGGTCACCTCCTCTACATGCTGTTAAAAGTTTCCCCTCCCCTCCACTCCACTCCCCTTCTCTTCTCTTTTTTCCCCTCACATCTTTGACTTCATCTAATAGAGAAAACGCTTGGTAGGTAGGTAGGTAGGCAGATAGATAGATAGATAGATAGATAGATAGATAGATAGATAGATAGATAGATAGAGAGAGTGGTGGCTTGAATGAAAATAACCCCCATAGACCCATAGTTAGTGGCACTTACTTGACACACACTAAAATGGAAATAATGAATTGTTGTGGATAGTTGTGCTTTCTTTCATAACTTTTTAAAAGGCTTTTAACTGTGTATTTCATACAAATAACATAGATAGGTGGATTATTTTCAGTGACTTAATGTGAGTTGAAAGAATGTCTCTGAGATACTATTCTATTTTTCCATTAACATATTTTAGCAATTTTCAACTTGCTTAGCTAGGCGTTTAACAAAAGGAAAAAAAGAATTGGATTAGGTGTAATTAACACCTGGAATTTGATTGCCTTATTAATCTCTAATGTAACTAAAGAGTATTAAATGTACCTATATCTTAGATATAACTACTTAGATTGTGACTGTCTACAATAGATACAGCTCTGCATCTTAGCAGTGGAAGAGTGGAATACAGTTTTCTTAATTATAGTGATGTTGACTTTCCAGAGTAGCAGAGACACAAATGTGAATTTCTATGAGAACGATAAACATATTGTTCGTGAGGCAAAGATCCACTGCTTTTGTGAGTCTCCCAAAACTATCTTCTCTTCATGTTGACTCTGTTTTCTGTGAAACAGTGACTTCTACTGAACCCAGCCCTTCAGTTTCCCCTGTGGCTTGTGTCTGAAGCAGTCAGTGGTTAACTGTATGGATTTGAAACTCCTCTGAGACATCTAAGTACACTGACTAAGTGGCAGCAGAGGCAGGGTAGGGGGATACTTTTGAAGCTCCAGAGTATATGACTGGAATTGTGTTATGACTCCAGGCAAAGACCACACCCAAGCAAGAGGTCAGAGTTTGTGCTTAGCTAGAGGGTATGTCAGCCCTCAACAGCTCCAGGACTTGCACCAAGGGACATTAAGGACCAGTTGATACTATATCCTCTGAGGTTTTAAGGGATGGTGGAAATGTCTTAGTTAGGGTTTCTGTTGCCGTGAAGAGACACCATGACCATGGCAACTGTTATAAAGGAAAACATTTAATTGTGGCAGCCCACTTACAGTTCAGAGGTTCAGTCCATTATTGTCATGGTGGGAAGCAAGGCAGCATGCAGGCAGACATGGTGCTGGAGAAAGAGCTAGAATTCTACATCTTGACTCACAGGCAAAGGGAAGTGGTCTGAGACACTGGGTGTGGTTTGAGCATATATGAGACCTCAAAGCCCACCTCCACACTTCTTTAACAATGCCACACCTACTCAGAACAAGCCACACCTCCCAATAGTGCCACTCCCTTTGTGGACCTTTTTTTTTTTTTTTTTTTTTTTTTTTTTCCAAACCACCACAGCTATCCCTGAATTTTGTGTGGACTTTTTAAAGTTTTTAACTATTGACAATTAGTATTTTTGTTTTTGAAATTTTCCGTGGGAAACACAAAACTTATGGGTTGGCTTTTGTCACTGTTTGCTAGATTCTGAACTCTGGTCAGTCTTTTTCTCAGCTTTCCAGGTCCACACATCTTATGCCTGGGTTTATTTTTTTTTTATTATTTTTTGCTGTTGTTAAAAAAGTAAATCCTTTGTATGGATTGGGCTTGAATTTTTATGTTCTGAACATAGCTAGGTAGTCTCCCATCTGTGGCTCAACCTTTCCCTGTGACACCCATGACTCTAATTCTTGCCATTTTCTGACTATCCAGTGAGACCTGTCTTGGTCTTTGGTGCAGAAGTCTGCTTCTAGCTGCTCCAGTCTGCACTTGGTACATTGATGCTGGACTGTCACAGTCATTGCCCTTGATTACCGACTCCAGAGCATAAGTCTTGTCTTTCTCAGGACTGAGACTAAATCCTGCGTTCTATTATAAGGTGACAAAGATGCTCTGGCGTGGAAGAGACCACAGGATAGTGTGTGTGTGTGTGTGTGTGTGTGTGTGTGTGTAACATAGCTTCTCCTAAATGTCCTTAAGGCCAGGGAGTTCACTGCCTTTCATGGCCAATCCTCTGGATCTGGACAAGTCTGACTTCAGAAACTCTTTGCTTACTTTTGCCAAGCCCTCTCTTCTTTGTTCATTCCTGGCCAGTAGCCTTGACTTCTTCCCTTGTTCACTGGGCACTTGGTACTGAATGAGGATTCTGGTCTAGCATATCTAATGCAGACATCTAAATTTTAACAGGGTTTGTGATAGGAAGCAGCATACTCCCTTGAGAATAAATGTGGATAGATTTATGTATGCAGCCTCTTGCACATCAGGTACTGGCGCATTTTAGAAGTAGGAACTTGTCTCTGCCAGTTCCACGGTGTTTCTTTTAAAACTGCTTGTCTTTGGGTGTCTGCTTTTGTAAGCACTAATAAACATTTCCTACATTTGAAATCACATATTTTGCTTGATGATACATCTCTTTAGAGTCCTGGAGGGTTTTTTTTCCTCCCAAATAATCACAAGTCTAATTATCTGCATATTAAGTTTAAAATCTCATAATAGGTTATAATGCTTAGATTCATCACTTCTGCCTGGGTTGTTTTGAATATCGTGACACCCAGCTGTAAAAACAAAAGTACGTGCATGTTTAAAATTAGCTTCCATAGGTGGGCCTTTGAGATTGAACCATCACTTTATTATTTTCTAATGCACTGGAAGGAGAAGTCCATGCTCTGTTGTTGCTAGCTGACCACACTGTCCACCAATGATCACGTTGCCATCTGTGCATCGCTGTTGTTCTTTTGTATTCCAGGTGCTGTGATACTCTTGGGAAGAACCAACATGTTCCGCTTTAACCATCCAAAGGAAGCTGCCAAGCTCAGGGAGAAGAGGAAGGTGAGGGCATGGGGACTGACCCCAGATGCAATGGGGGTGTCTCCTAGGTTCTACTACTTTACTCTCTGGGACTAAAACCTCTGGAAAGGAAGCTCTGTAACCAGGTCTGTTCCAGGCAGTTTGTATCCTGACAGATGATGGAGTAGGAGAGCCAGCAACTAGATCCAGAGCTCACAAGAAAAAAGGTCTTCCCTTTAGACCCTTCCTGTTAGTCTATGCATCCCTAGAAGTGTCAGGCTTTGTGTGGCATTAAGTGAGGAGTGAGTTGCAACTATCTATGTAACATAGCACTGAATCACTCTTTTTGCAAGTCCACCATAGTAAATTATGTTTTTCACTTGGGTAGGAGACAGAGTGGGGTGAGTGTAGGATCATTAAGGGAGATGGGCTTGGTTGTATGGGAGCAGTAAGGGGTTTTAAAATGCTCAATGATAGAGGAATGCTGAAGCCCACACAAAGAGAGGACCATTGAATGAGAAGGAAACAAATCCGAACCATGGCCTTTCTTTAAACTGCTGAAGACAGAAAAAACTTCAGCTTGCTTTGTCATGAGCTGGGAACTGTGCTCTGATTATGCAGATTCCACCAGGTTGTCTGTACAGCAGCTATTACCACCCCAATTTACCAGTAACCAAGTGGGAAATTAGACCGTCCATAACAGGCTGTGAGGGCAGGAGGTGGGCCCCTAGGACCTCAGCCCTAACCTGCGAGCCCAAGGCCTTTGTTCTGGCCACCAAGTGACATAGCATCTCATGCCATTTCTTCTTATGTAAGGGCTGCTCAAGGCTTCCAGGACCTTTGATGGAAAATGAGAACAAAGCTACATCCCTCAGCTTAATCCAGGGCTGATGATCCAGCCAGTAAATTGTGCCCATTCCATCTCAGGGCCACTCTAGACAGTCCCTTTTAGACACTGTTCCAGAGAGATATGGGGAACGTCTGTCTGCCAATAGCTTTCCCTGAAAGCAAATAGACCAGTTCTTATCTTTTAGGCCAACCCCTCACCTATCCCTTTATCTCTACCACTCAGTAAATGTGAATGTTAAGGGCAGCAGAGAAACAATTTCTAACCTCTATCTAACCTTCCATACAGTGTTGCGAGGAGGCTTTCTGAGCTATGGAATGCCTGGTGAATAAAAGGGCACATTTTGGGGTCAGTAAAAACCTAACACAAGAGAATCTCCCAGAAATCTACAAGGATGACACTAGCTAAGACTCTTAGCAATAGCAGATTCTTAGCCTGACCTAGCCATCTCCTGTGACCAGATTGGTGACTAGCCCAATTGTTATCAGAGAGGCTTCATTCAGCAATTGATGGAAACAGATGCAGACCCACAGCCAAACATTAGGTGGAGTTCAGGGAACCCTGCAGAAGATGGAGAGAAAGGATTGTAGGAGTCAGAGGGGTCAAAGGGCACCACAAAAACAAAACAAAAAATCCTCACAGAATCCACTAAACTGGACACACAGGGCCTCACAGAGACAGAACTAACATCCAGGGAGCCTGCATGGGACCGACCTAGGCCCTCTGCATATATGTGACAGTTGTGTGGCTTGATCTTCTTGTGGGATTTCTAACAGTGTGAATAGGGGCTGTCTCTGTCTTTTTTTTTTTTTTTTAATTGATTTTTGGGACCTAGCCTTAATGCATGGGGAGGTGCTTAGTCTTACTGCAATTTGATATGTTATGTTTTGTTGATACTCATGGGAGACCTACCCTTTCATAAACAGAAGAGGAGGATTGGGGGATGGGAATAGAGGGAGTGTGGTTGGGAGGAAGGCTGGGAGGAGAAATGGTGCCCAGGATGTAAAATAAATAAATAAAATTTATGTTTTTAAAAAGTGGTTTCTGGTGTATAAGGGACCGACTATCCCTCATCTGACAGATATGAAGCATTCACATGAGTGTGTGCATCTCATTGCCTGTCCCTAGCGGAAGGCAATGGATGCGAAGCACTGACCTTCTCATACCCACCAAGGTAACCACTCTGCCCTGTGTCTGCTCTTAGAGTGGCCTTCTGTCCTCCTTCAGCTTGTCTATGACCGACCTCTCAAAGTCCTGTGAGAACCTGTCTGCAGTCATGTTGTATAACCCTGGGTGAGTGAACAGCACGTCTCTTCCCTGTGATTAGTACTGTGGTGGTATTTATGGTGCCAACTACATTATAGTCACTTGAGGTAATAAAGCTTGGGCAAGGGCACCTCCTCAGCATATCAACTGCAGTCATTTTCCAAGTTTCTTTCCAGCCGGTGCTGTATATACATAATTGTACTTAGTTATAATCACAGTACAAATGGGATTATGTTCTCTGATTTTTTTTTTTGCTTAACAACATAATAAGCATTAGCAAAGATGGTTACAAGCTTCATTATCATTTTCATAACTGTCTAATATTTTAAGTTGGCACTTTGATTACCCAGTGCATGATCCCTTTGGCTTAAATGCTTTTATCTTGTTTTTATAAATGATCTGTAATAACAGAGGCAGCCTTGGTCTTAGGGCATCCTATAGCCCAGAGAATTATCTTCACTGCTTTTAGACATCAGGGGATGGCAAAGACACAAAGGAGACCATTTTAAATGAGTTTAGCAGCTGGGTGACCTTGAATTGTTAGCCTAAGTGCTCAAGTCCTTGGTGACTCCATCAGTAAGATGACAGTGATAATGAAAATGTCTGGAAACAAGGAACCAGATGAAAAGACTTCTGGGTACTCCCCAGTTTGAGGTTATACTGTTTCATGCTTCCTATCAAGAGAATCTCACTTAAAATTATGAGCTGAATGAGTGAAATGAAACTCTTAGGGATTTCTCTTTGGAGCTGTCCCTTGTTTTGTATTTATAGGCATAAGTGCTGAGTCACCTCTGTCCTCTCACGTCTCAGAGTTGTAGCTGCCTGGCCTTACATGTGCACCTGTTCACAAGTGAGAGCTGTGCCCGCGTCCAGGTGTGACTCCCGAACCTTGCTCTCACTTCCTCAGCCCTAGCCCTATTCCATTTGGGGCTCTACTTCCACACCCGTGGCCTGTGGATGCTCCTGAAGGTCCAGGTAGTGCTCCCCTTTCTGTGGTGGCAAGTAGATGCCTATGAGGAATTGTTGCTTCATTGTCCCTGGATGCCTTCAATCTTATCTCTACCTTGTTCCTTTTGGAGATCAGCAGGCTAAAGCCCAGATCCTGTGTTACTTGAGCCAAAATAAAAAGAAAGCCAGTTGGTGAGACATAGGGTCTGTGGATTTCTTATGACATCCAGCTTCATCTTCATCATGCAGCCTTTCAAACTTCAGGTTGTGTGATTACTGAGGGAGGTTATAATCATTAAATTATTTTGTCTTGAAATGAGCTGAATATTAGTGAGACCCTGAAATAAAAGAACCCTTTCAGAGCCACTGAATAGGCAGTCTTTGTGAAGGCATGAGTGCTTGTAGGTTCTTAGGAATTTGTAGTGGTTTTCCCAGCTGCTTTGTGTGGTGGCTAGAAGGAATCATTTGTAGGCTTACATCATTTAACGTAATATGCTGGTCCTTGGCATTGATATCAGTGGTGTGATCCCTTCTGTTAAGTACTGTTTGTCTGTCAAATAATTTTGCTTGAATTTGTCTCCCAGCCCAAGACCCAGCTAACTTTCCCCATCCTTCGTGTAGTGGAGCCCTTTAGTTTGCTACCATTTGGAAGCTTACTTTGTTACCTTAGAAAACAGAAAAAGTAATCTCTCCTCAGGTCACTAGATCTCTTTTTATTTTGTATTTATGTGTATGTATTAAGTTCTTTTTCTTCCACAAAATGTAGAATATGTAGTCCTATTAAAAGTGATATTATATTTTAACTTATTTGAAATTCAGTTTATTTTTTCCTAGTATTGATTACATGTCATAAAGTGTACCAGTAGCCGGGCGTTGGTGGCACACGCCATTAATCCCAGCACTCGGGAGGCAGAGGCAGGCGGATCTCTGTGAGTTTGAGACCAGCCAGGTCTACAAGAGCTGGTTCCAGGATAGCCTCCAAAGCCACAGAGAAACCCTGTCTTGAAAAACCCAGAAAAAAAATAATAAAGTGTACCAATTTGCATCCTTCGAACCCTTCTGACTTCCAGTGTCTACTTCTGTGACTCCCCAGGATCACTCAGCATGTCCTTGTACATCTGGGCACACTCAGCACAGCCTGCTACATCCATCTCATTATATCTTGGCACATCTCAGTGCATCCCTTTGCAAGTTTTGTTCATTCAGATTGTGGCTGTGACTCAGATATGTCTGAAATAACCTGTGTCATAGGAGCTGGTTCTTTGCTTGTTCCAGGGTCTGGTCTGTGTTTTTCCTGCCACCTGCAGCTCCAACACACCATGCAGATGAACCCATTCTGCAGGCTATTCCCAGGTCTCATCAAAGTGAAATGTCCCTGTTGGCCACGCACTGCTGCATTTCTGTCATCACTATTTTATCATTCTTTGTGGAGACCATTCACCCTTCAGGAAACTTGTTCTGAGAACTACTGTCAATCAGACATGACTCTAGGACCAGTGCCTTTGGTATGGGCAATGTTCAGTATCCATGCCAGCTGAAGGACAGAGTCAGTCTGTGGATGACTGGGGGATCAGAGAAGTGAAGGTGGAATGAATTATGGTGCCTCTGGGGCAGTGTTTGGCAGGTGTGCTCAAGAAGGACTTCCTGGGTAGGAGATCTAATACTTGATCTAAGACTTGAATGGAGTGAAGATGGCAGTCAGTGACACTCATAAAACACAAGGGGGAATGGAAACATTGCAGGCAAAAGAGAAGGGAAACAAAAAGCTTCAAAATCATAAATTGGAAATTGGACCAGAGTAAGTGGAATACAGGAAGAAGGCTGATGCAAGGCAAGGTGAGGGACAGTCAGTGGCAGCCTGTGTGGGCCTATGTGGGGCACTGCAGGGAGTGGTGTCTTCTAAGAATGCTGGTAAACATGAGAAGCCTTTGTCTGGGACAGTAACCTGAAGAGCACTTACTATGGAAATTGTAGAGTAGAATCCGGAAACTGTGAAGAAAACTATCTGTTTAGACCATATGAATGATAATGGTGGCATAGGTCTGGGCTTTGGCCATAGAGATATAGAAAAGTGAAGTCAAGGAAGTATGGGATAAGGGGAGATTTCCAGGTTTCAGGGTAAACATGGGGGGCAGATGTTGTACCCTTTCCTGCGATGGGGCAGACAAGGAAGATGGTTGATTACAAGTAGACAGGTGATGAGAATTCTGTTTACATCTTTCTTGTTCAGTTGGAAGCTTTGTAAGCTCAAGGATCTTGACTTTATTTCACAGTGCCATGTATATCTCCTGGTTATTACTAATAGCAAATAGTTTCAGATTGAAATTTTAGTAAGACATCTAAATTCTCTAGAGTTTTTAAATTTTTGTATTTTTTTATTAATTTTCCTGGATATGGACATTATAATTATTGAGATAAAACATAGGTGCAAAGTGGTAGAACCCCAAAGATAATGCAGTTACTTAAATAATCTCAAGGTCATGTTCTGATCCTTGACAAAAGGTGGTAGAAGGAGGAATGCCATATGATAAAATGGGAAAGTAAGCAAAGGAGATCAGGAAACCCAAGTGAGAAGCAATATATTTCAGGTTGAATTACAGTTGGTGGCTTCTGGATGCTTCTGATATGAGCATGATGCATCCTCTTCACCTGGCTTCCACAAACAGACACATTCATGTAATACTTGTTGGTACAAATTCAAGTAAAATTATTTAATACTTCATCATACCTTCCTTCTCCCTGGCTCCCGGTCCCCTACACTCGCTACCTGCTGCAAAGAGTGATTACCCGTGAATTAAAATATAATTGAAAAAAAATTGCCTACTCTGACTTATGGGAAGGCAGACACCTCATTATGAAATTGTTGGCTCTAGCTAGTGGGCAAAATGAAGCATAATTAAAGCTATAGCCATGCTGTTTTTACCATCTTTTTTTTTTATGTTGTAGGTATAAATACTCTCTGCATAAATTAAGCTAGAAGAACATTGAAAGAAATATGTTTAGTACCTGGGCCCTCATTAAAGAGTTGTTTAATTCCAGATACCCCACAGCTTGGACTCAGAGCATGCTCATTTCTCAGAGGGAAACATCAGGCTGTGATGTTCCCACTAAGCAGTGGGTATTGCTGAGGATCTGCTGTGTGCTGACAGCCTGCTAAGTAGTGGACTTCCAGTTCTCTGTGGAGAGCCTGGGAACATGGGCTTGTCATGTGAATGCATGTAGAATGAGTGCAAGACAGCATGTAGTTCAGAGCAGAAGGCAGGTATGTCTGCAGCCTTCTCTGGGATCTGGTGGGAAAGGACTGATGTGATGTGATGAACCTAGGATGGACTCTCTTTCTGCTGTCATGCCCCTTTGGGTAGCCATGTCCTAATGTGTTGGGTGACATAGAAAACCAGAGGCCTTGTGGCTTCCAATAGGAGTCGTTATTAGGGTTGAGATCTCCTGCAGCCAGTCCCTTAGGATCTGTATGAGTCTGATTCATGAGAATCATTGTTCTTCTTTTTGTAAACCAAATATTATTTTCTTAACCAACACCAGTCTCTTGTGCAGTTTAGCTCATTCACACCCTGGACTAAGTGACTAGAGTTCTTGTCGTGGAGAGGACAGCAGGATTCCAAGGAGTCTCAAGTAAATGGTCTCCTCTGTAGTTGGCGTTATAAAGATGTTCCCTGCCTGCAACAAGGCCTTGTGTAGAGAAGAGAGGCAGAGAATGGGAACTGAAGACTTAGTCCTCAGCATCCACCTTCCAAAGACTCAAAGTCACTGCCCTGACTTTGAACTGAAGGTTTCACTCTATGGCTTTCAGGTGAACTGTCCTTTCTGCTCCCTGACTGTTTGCAGAAGGAGAAGTCACCTGCTGAGGAGGTCCACTGTAGGGAATGTAGAGCATCCCAGGGGAGAGCTGGACAGAGGGAGCCATGCTGAGAGGAAGAAGAGTTAGCAGGCTGAGGGCCAGCTCAGAGCTCCCTGGAAACCTAGTATTAGCACTTACAGTTTGCTTTGATAAACCCACAGAGTTGCTCTTTGGGGCTTGTATTTCTGTGTTTGGCAGATGAATTTGAGGTGTAGATTGCAGC